GCGAGAAAGCGATGTCCCCTCTCGGCCATCATAGTCTTCAGCAACCCATGCTTGCCGTAAAAGGGCGACTATGCTTGTCGTAAGTGGCGACTAACGGGATCAGGTGGTCGGGCTCGCTGACTTGGTTGATGCATGTCATCATATCCCAATTGTGTAGATCGATGCTCATGATGTCAGTCACGGGACTGTCCGGTTCAGACTCGATTATTTACAGACCGCCGTCATATAGCTGGAATATTGCTGAGTGCGGCGTTAAACAACAAACAAACACTAAACAATATGGGAAAGAATGTAAATGTATGATCTGATACCGCTTAAGCATCAAAATTTAGCATTTACCAATTGTACCCATTATAGGGAATCAATATTGGGGCTTTAACCACTAGGCTACATCTTCATTCGATCTTTCATATTACATCTTAATTTCATTAAAAATACTACGCACGTGTATTTTTTCAATGACAAAAGCAAACCCTGTGATATTTCACGTTCAAAATTTGTTTCATATTGTCTGAAAATATCGGACCGAGTATTATTATTAAGTGTTGACATCCAGTTTTGACAAATTTCATTTATGGGGTGATTTTAAAAAATCTGATAAAAGACATACATGTATTGCCTCTAACAACAGACTAATATAACAATATGAACCCAATCCGTGTGAACACTATGTATCACGAACCAATGCTACGCGTTTATAATAACCAATGCTGTCATGATACATCAACATATTATGAATTTATTTAGACTTTTGCTGTCGTGAAAAATATTAAAAGTTAAAAGTACATGAACGAAATATTTCTTCTGATGCCACAAACGCAAGCCGCAGAAACATTTCCAAGTATCTTTGAACAGGTCATTTTAGAGTAAGGAATGTAGCCCTGTACACTAATTTCCAACGTTTTGCAAACAATTGCTAGTTCTTTAAATCTTGTAGGCGTTGTTCCAGGCTGTTTAACATACATATAAGGTTGCGTCCAAAGAAAGATCACCAAATATTCACGCGTGTGTGCGTGCGTGCGTGCGTGCGTGCGTGCGTGCGTGCGTGCCGTGCGTGCGTGTCTCTCCTAAAATGTGTTAAGCAAAACGGAAGGGCTATCAAAAATGAATTACAAATGTTCTAATAGGATTACCGGAGTTTTCGTCATTCAATTTTCGTGATTTTTCATGGCCGTAGTCATGTTGTAGAAACAATGACTGTTCGCAGATGTAGCTTGGACCATTACGGATTTGATAATTAGTACTATCGATAAATTAAACATCTACACAGTACATATGTTGCTAGTCTGATATGCGCAGCCAAATCTCGGCGGGAGTTGACTACAATCCAAATAAACAAAGACATCGCCATGAATCTATTATATGAATATATATATCTGTATTGTACTCCAGCATGCGTGATTTAACATCCTATATTAATGTATTATGGGCCGGTGTCCTGTCACGGAAATAAATTGTCTGTCTGTATGTCTATCTTCGTCAAATTCTGCATCTTCTACAAAGACATTCAGGTACTTACTATATATGGCACCATCCCACCTACAGCATACCTTTCATCTTTTAGAAGCAGCTACGACCACACTAACAATGGTTTATGTAACACACATAGGTACAGAAATACTTTTATCTATTGCATGCAGATAAGACGCCAGTCTCTGAACAAGACACAGTTTAATAGTGGATGGAATCTCCAAAACACGGCTATCTGACTGTGCATGCCAAGGAAAATAGACAACAAACCACTTCACGTTTCATTCATTCCATTTAATGTCTGCATATACCAAACTGGCAATATCAGACTTCGGTTATAAGAATGATGAAGTAATGCTTTAGAGAATTTTCAAATTACAAATAAAACAGGATTTACAGAAGTTGTATATTTTTTTTCCAGGTAATGAATTACAACATCATGATTTACAGGGATGTATAGCGTCAGACAATATGTACAATTTCAAACAAATCAAATTAAATATTCAGAAATTCCAATAGGTTTTACAATACATGTTGATGTTTTCACACAGGGAGAACCTGGTTCCTGCTACTGGCGATGTTCCTGATACACTGCACAACACGACCAAAGACAGAGTTGTGGCCAGGTGTGTCTTTGACATGTGATTTGGCAGCAGTAACGTCTGTGGGTTTCACTTTGTTTTTGAATGCGATAGATGCCAGTCTGGTACGGACACTGGTGATGAAACGCCTGAGCTTCCCGGCTTTAGGGGGCAGGGTCGGGGGCACAAGTTCTCCCTGGACGAAGATGGGTGGCGGGAGAAGTCGCGAAAGCCTGTAGTGGGCGGCGGCCGATGTGACGGCGTTGTGGATTTCGATGAGTGAGTTGCGCACGCTTGGGTGGCGATCATTGCTGAGGAAAAGTTTGGACATCTGTGTCCAGCCACAATCAACCTCTCTCTGTAACATCCACAGATGTCGCTTGCCTCTCTTGTTCTCAGTCACCTGTTATAAAGAAATAAACACACACATTGCACAGATCCATACAGTAAATCGTTTTCGATGACAAGCATTAACTTGACATAAATATGATGATCAATATTCTAAAAACATACTTGGCAAAATAAGTTTAAACCGTTAGGTGCAATGAAATATGTTACACAACATAATGAACAGGATCCTGGTTTCCCTACGATGCAGTTTTATTCCGGTCAAAACATCCTCATGTCGTAGTACTCACCTCATTTTCTTGGAGAATGGCAGTCCGGATCAGATGGAGCCAAAGGCGGATGGCGTCAAACTCATCCAGAAGTTCACTGGTGAACAGATGCTGCAGGTCTGGAAAATGAAATAAGTCTACAGTCTTAAATTACATCTCTTCACATTCAAACCCGCTGTCATAAAGCCAAACAGGAAGTTAACACAAATCACAACACAATTCAAATGTATTAGTATTACATTGGAATAAGTTTGAATAATGAGACGTTCGTTTCAATTATGCTTGCCTTTAAGCTTGTCACATTCCTATTTAACTTTTGCTTTAAGATTCCATGGAATCTGTTTCGGGAGATAATCAAGACGTTGGTATCAAATACTTATTAAAAAAATCTTTTCAGTTTGACAGCCTCAAGCTAAACTCTCCTTTATGAGATTTCAATTAAATATATACATAGAAACGCATGTGACTTATCTGATTAATTATTGCTAGTGAAGCGTTTGGAGAAGGAATACCAAAAATATAGATGAGTTCAATCATGAAATAAGTTTCTCGTTTTTAAAAATCACATTAACTGTAAAATGAAACTAACCTGGAGCTGTTCGTGCTCCTCGGAGCCAGTCGCGGCCACAATACGTCATTTTCAACAATTGCTTCAAGTAGATTCGCAAATATTCACTGAGCAAAACTGGAGCGTGTTGACATTACCGAATCAATGTCGAAGTGATTGTCGATGACGTCATGTCATTGTGACGTCACGTAATTGTGACGTCATAGTACCACGGGAGGTAATTGCATTCATTAAAGACACGAGTACCGCTAAATAAAACCTTGTACACGATGAAACACTGGCAGTTCCTTCATATTACAGGCAGTGGTTTTTTTTAGGATAACTGAATCCAAGTTCCCGTGAACAAGACACAGAAACTGTTCCACTTAAAATGAGGGGACATACATGACAGAACATGAGGTATCGCCTGTATATTGGACATAAGGGTGCAGGTGGCATTGTGTAGTTACTAGCGATCACTGTTGTTCTTGTCAGGCACACCTACTTCACACAGATTATAAATATCATGGACTCATTCGCCAGTATAGTTTTGTTTCACCACCTCCATCGCTCCTATCGTTAACTCTGCAGAGAATTACTCTCGCTTGAGAGAGTAATTTGATTGGATGTCTATTTTCAAAGTCCTGCCATTCTAGTCGGTCTGAAAACGAAGCTGTGGTAGCGAATCGGTCTGTGTTATTAATCAAATAGAATGGAAATATAACACACTTCAGGATGCGTTGGGCACGGTGATGCTCACTCAGCGAAGTCACTGAGCCGAGTCGTATTTTAGTCGGGGCGGTCGGGTGGCCTAGTGGTTGAAACGTTCGCTCGTCATGCCGAAGACCCGGGTTCGATTCCCGACATGGGTACAATGAGTAAAGCCGTGATATTGATGGAATATTGCTAAAAGCGGCGTAAAACCATTCTCACTCACTCATATATTTTAGTCACCTCCTACGATACGCGTGATCGAGGTACCGGGAATCTCTACAAACCCGGAATCCCACAGGAGTTCATATTGTTAAACGTTTCATTTCGTACACGAACAATGGGGTGAAGCAGTGACGTACGCCTGCACGGGCAGCATACGGCGGGTTGTGGTCAATCGGAACAATCAACATATCTTCGACTTTAGGGACAAATTTGTTAACAATGCCAAGTACTCGTGTTTTATCGTTCTAAAGTACATGTTAATTAAAATATTTTAATCTCAAGAAAACTATTTTGCTGATGAGTGTTGTCACACAGATCTTTTTTGTGTAAAATATGACAGATTTTACGAACGCTTTAGATGAATAACTTTCCACGAGACACGCTATTAAAAGATATTGTACATTTGACTTTCAGTCTAAACATATGGTCCATCTGTATATACCAGATATAGCATTATCATATGCCAAACTGTTCTATTGGATATGCTTTGGTTACATAAATGTGTTAAATTGGGTTTGAAGAGCGACTACTCATCTATAGACGGAACCCAGTCTAAAGCAACGTCGCCTGCGCAAGATGAAAAGAAACCCATTCGTTACCACTCGTATCTTTCCGTAAATCTCCGTCGGGTATTTCCGAATTACTCCGGAGTAACACGATTTGTGACGAATGAGGTTTTTATTGTAATGTTTGAACCCCTGCAAAGCAGTAAACTGCATTGTTGTCTCAGTTTCACTTAGAAGTAACATCTTTCATGAAGCCGTATCACCAAAGAAACGAATTTATGCTGAAACATGAAACATATTATTATCTATAATTATCAAAATGAACACGTTGTCAGTCAGCGAGGGTTCCGTGGTGTAGTGGTTATCACGTCTGCTTAACACGCAGAAGGTCACGAGTTCGAGCCTCGTCGGAACCTCTTTTTGCTGAAATTATTATTTTGAATCAACCTTTGACTGAGTGTTAATCTAGCAATATAGTATCTGAAATGAAACTATTTTAAGTATACTTTTGTGATTTAAAAAGCATATGTTTTTGATGCACTAAAGTATTGAAAATAATGACCGTCCCCTAATATGTTTGTCATATTTTTGGATGACCCTCACCAACTCCTTGTACACTTTCTTTCATGACCATCTATTAAAAGACAAATTGCATAAGCAATTTTTATTTTATTATGAAATGTCTATTATGTCGTGATCCTCCCCAAACATGTGTATTACTGTTTATGATCCTAGCCTAGAGACTGTCATACTTTTGGGGGGCCCAGGATTCCCTGTGACCCAACCACCCTTTATAAAAATGACCGGACCCAAACATCCTTGCTTCTTTATCTCAGACTCATTTTAAATAAAATATCCACTGTCTGTGCGTGTCGAATATGACTACTGAGTGTTTTACTGTGTACCGGGGATACACGTGTGAGCAACGACGGTTGGTTGGTTGGTTTGTAGTTTTACGCCGCACTCAGCAATATTCCAGCTATATGACGGCGGTCTGTAAGTAATCGAGTCTGGACCAGACAGTCCAGTGATTGATATCACGAGCATCGATCCACCAATTGTGATCGATGACATGTATCAACCAAGTCAGCGAGCCTGACCACCCGATCCCGTTAGTCGCCTCTTACGACAAGCATAGTCGCCTTTATGGCAAGAGCAACGATGGTAATTTTAAGTTACTACCACTTTCGAAAAATCTCTGACCACTAGATCTACTACCTTTGGTGATTGTCGCAGCCAATAGAAAGTTAAAGTGACCACCAAAACCTTGACTTCAACCTCTACGCCTGGTTCACTAGAAAGTAAACCCATTTGGCAACATTTACAATGTTCCATCTAATTGTCGTGTGCATATTTTGTCATGTCATACTTAATTTAAGTATATTCGAAACCGATAGAGTAACCAAATATTACCGGGCAGTTACCACTACTAAAATAAACACTAGAACGTGCTTCGATCTACTGTCTTACATCAGGAAGATCGAAAACAAACATTTGATGTTATGTCCATGTAAATATTGTAGGAATGTATGGTACGAATACTTTTTAAAATATGAAATCTGCTCCCGACTGTGAGGAGCTTGCGTTCGCGGAGCTCTCTATACTATCCTGTTTCAGTTTGTCCGAGACTACACGTGAGCAGAGGCCATAAAATAAAATTTATTTCATGGTCTCTTATGTCAGAAGGAACATGCATAGGCCCATTTGTTTCAAAATTAAAGCAATTTAGAACTGATTCGAGCCTGTGTTTTATGCTTTAGCCATGTTTTCTGACTTGATATAGGTCAATGGTAAGAATGTGTGTAATTAAAATATGACTTTATGATACTGGTTACTTCTTCATCTAAATGTGCTTACATTTCCTCTCAGATTTTCGGGTTCAGCTTGCTCTCAATGAAAGTCGTGAATATTGGTATATTTTATATTTTTCCGACCGCCCCCTCTGTGAAAACCTTGCAGATGAGAAACACAAAAATAAGTAAAGACGCCCTAAGCAATGTTGCATATATTCTCTTCTATTCTATTTCTTTCAGAAGGAATAATTAATTACACATATTTACCATAATGATAGCGCAGTGGTTTGGCTGCATGGGAAAAATCGCGTGACTTACCTCCCTTGACAAATATGGCTGCTTCCATGGCCGGGCATGAGATATCAAAACAATCTGTGTCAAAACAAAGTTTGACAAATGTCTTGATTTTTGTGATTCTCTTATCGATTGTATATATCCCTGCTAATTCAAAAGGGCCTCTGGATTTGATGCAGCATGCGCTGCCTCTGACCTTAGTTTATTGTGGAATAATTGCACTGAGCGAGCTGTTGTTTTGGCTTGTGACAAAACAAAACAAACATTTCAAGGCAAGTTACTCTTATTGATATATGACCAGAGACTACATACATATATTAATATACATACCCTTTTCTCCAGTTAGAAACTATTGAAGAACACATTAAACGTGTTGGAAGTGCAGGATTCCACGATTCCATTTAAGTGTAAAATTTAGATTGGGAAACATATCCCTTAGGTTAATCGGTTATAAATGTATTGTCCAGTCCCTTGTGGAGAGCTAGTGGTGGGTAACTATTCAGTCCTAAAACTAGCCTTATGTTAAAAACAGATTAACCAGAATAGTTCTTATTATTGAAAGTGTCTACACATATACATCATAAACATGATACAACTCATATACTGCCTAGAAATAGGGGTGAAACGATCCAGCAAGGTCACGATATGATACATATCTCAATACGCATATCTACTTCAAATCACATGGAAACATCTTGGCCTATAAATATTTCACAGCAGATTCAAAAAGAAAAGCTAGCTGTAGACACGTTTGTAGTGGCAATATTTAGTCGTGAACTTGAAATGCTGATTATAACTAATTTTAGGATATTTGACTGACAAAAATGCTGGAGCTTTTTAAACGAGTAGTAAGTAATTTATTTCAGCAAATGTATCATTTTGTATTGATACAGAAAAAAATGTATCGTGTATCGTATAGTCACATGAAAGCTCATGATGCACCAATGTATCAATTCGCCCCTACCTTGAACCAGTCAATAAACAGCTGCACAACAGCATCTCACTACGGCACTTGCATACTCACTCACATGTTGGATACTACTTAAGTGCTTTATGAGAGATGAGAATATCTGGTCATGCACTGCAGTAACCACTGTGGCAACAAGATCACTTGTATTCTCATTTCATACCAACAAACAATATATTAATTGAATAATTTCAACCTACAAAAGTTTCATTCCTTTAAGGGGGGCACGGGTGGCCCTCTCGTCTAAGGCGCTGTGATTCGCTCTGCAGAGTTACGTCCCTTTGGCATGCCAGAAACCTATGATTGTGGCTTCGAATCCCGGTTCACCCCAATTATGTTTCTAGGTTTGTCAACACCATACCCGTGCTCATGGGTTTCACCGAAGTGGTAAACGTCTGAGACCTGCATAACTCGGGCTCTCCTCCCACATTAAGCTGACATGTTGTGATATAACTTGAATACTGTTAAAAGCGGCATTAAACCAAACTCACTCACACTCATTCCTTAAATCTAGGACTTACTGGTTGTCTCAAGAACATTTGTCCACATGCTTTATTTTTAAAGTTTGCTTGTCTACAGTCAGTAATGAACTGATAGTTAGAGACAAAGAGATTTAACAGTGTACAGATCCAACAGCCTTGAGTCAGACAAGGCAGCCCACCCTATGGTATAAATGCTGTACATTACGATGCTGTAAACTGACATCCGTCCTGCTGCAGATCCTCCATGTTGTTCAGGGGGCGGGGCTGTTCGTGTCCAGCGTCCTGCTCTTCCATGCTGTGGCAGTCTTGTACGGAGCACCATTCACAGAGTAGGTGCACCATTTCTCATTATGGATGCTTTTTATATTTTTTGCTAACCATTTAGCAGTCGGGGATGCCTCTTATGGACCCCCAATTTTTGTAGTTTATCTTTATTTTTCTTGTCCATCAAAAGTAGAACACTTGGACAAAACAAGCATTATTTGAAAATATTTTGGTTGAATGTTGTTCTCAAGTGTGGCTTGATGTTACCAATTTGAATGGTGTTCATGGTGTTGTGAACTGTTTCGGTTTCAGTTTAAAGAGAAGTTTTTACAAATTTCTTTTTGCGTGACTGTCGACAATAACCAGGACGACAATGATGATGACATATCTGATCACAAGAACGACAATGATGATGACATATCTGACTACATTAGTAAAGTGATAAGATTCTCATCACTTGACATGGTTGTAAGGACAATGGGGGTGGTCAGGTAGCCTAGTGGTTAAAGCGTTCGCTCGTCACGCCGAAGACCTGGGTTCGATTCCCGACATGGGTACAATGTGTGAAGCCCAATTCTGGTGTCCCCCGTCATGATATTGCTGGAATATTGCTAAAAGCGGCGTAAAACCATACTCACTCACTCACTCACTGTAAGGACAATGCCCATCTGTAATACCAGTAAGCATAAGGCATCACACATGCTGTGTAAATCCCTGACTTGAGTATATGTGTTCATCTTCAGGGCCACAGCTGAGACATTTCACTTTGCGCTGTTGTTGTCAACAACGTCTGTACTGCCGGCATGTGTGTTCCTCGGACCACATCTCAACACTTGGATCAGGGTGTTCGCCCACACAAAGTAAGGCATCTTATTTGTATGTTTTACTCTTAAATTCCAGCATGTGTAAACAAAAATACATTCCCCTCCACCCTTTTTAAAATTTACGTCAGCCTGATAATCAATATAAATCACACTAATGGCAAACATAAATCACAAATTGAAGAATGATTGTTTTTTTACATATAAACTGTTATGTATGGTTTTAAAGTAGAAAAATTAGGCAGCACCATTATTTTGTTGTGGATATTCAATACATTCTGTTGTGTTGGAAGACCATGCCATATTTGTTTTATATGTCAGCCATTATTGTATCTTAGAATCAACCTTTTTTTTACCCAAAATCTATCTTGGCTTTAATTGACAGTGTTATCATGACATAGTCAATATTCCAATTTTGTGTATTGACATAACAATCTGTCCAAGTTCAGCCTTGTGGGATGGATTTGATCTAGTCATTAGGATTAGAAATGAATATCTGAATATATAATATATAGATATCTTGTAGGTTGGCATAGTCCTACAACAAATAACCATACTATGTGCATATTCAGTATATTTGGTGAATACTAATCTTTTGGTATTTCAGTCCTGATCTAGGGAAGGAGTCAGTGGTCTTCATAACCTCCATTGCCAGTGTGGTGGGGGCGTGGCTGGGGGCGTTCCCCATCCCCTTGGACTGGGACAGGCCCTGGCAGGTTGGTAGAGCAGGCTGACTGACTGACTGATATAGAAGATTTAACGTGCGCTTTCCGACTGCAGCGTATTTCGCACACGGGCCTGGCCAGACCATTTAGTGTATTCCGAGGAGGGTGAAAGTGGTGTGTGCAACACAAGAGGGGGCTTTTAGGGGTTGCTTATATCGATTTTTTGAAATTTTTAAATTTGGAATAAATGCCGAGGTGGGTGGAGGAGGGAACTAAGGGAGCCGGGTGAGGTGGGTGTTTGTATGTTTATTGGATTTTGGATTGGTAGATTAATTAGTTTTTAGATGCGCTTAATTAGGTCTGTTTTGATTAGGAATACGTCTAGGGCCTTGAAGTTTTCTAGTTTATTTTGAGGGTTTAGTATTTCATCTAGAGTAGGAACCTTATTTTGATTGAGGTTGGTTTGTAGTGTGGTTCTGTGTGTTTGGTAGTGGGTGCAGTGGATGAGTGCGTGTTCTGTGGTTTCGGGTTGTTTGCAGTGGGGGCAGTTTCCTGTGGTGTGTCTTTTAAGTTGTTTTAGGTGGTTATTTAGGTTCGTGTGTCCTGTTAGGAGTTTTGTAATTAATCTGTCAATTTTTTTTGAGGGGTGTAGGATTTTAGGTTTGGTTAGTGGTTTTCTGAGCACTTTTTTTATTTGGCTATTTGAGTTTTGATATTGATTATGCCATTTTTTGGTTATTTTTTGTTTGTTTAAACTTTTAATTTCTGATTTTGAGATGGGTAGGTTTAGGCTTATTTCTGGTATTTTGAGAGATGATTTACCTGCTTTATCGGCGCTTTCGTTGCCGTAAATTCCTACGTGGGCGGGGATCCACAAGAAGGTTATTTGTTTGCCTGCTTTTGTTAGGTCGTTGGAGCTTTTAAGTATTTGGTTTATTAATTTAGGTCGTTTTTTGGTGGTAGAGCAGGCTGAACAATGATCTTATATAGCCAGTGTGGTGGGGGCGTGGCTAGGGGCGTTCCCCTAAACCCCTTGACTGGGACAGGCCCTGGCAGGTTGGTAGAGCAGGCTGAACAATGATCTTTATAGCCAGTGTGGTGGGGGCGTGGCTGGGGGCGTTCCCCATCCCCCTGGACTGGGACAGGCCCTAGCAGGTTGGTAGAGCAGGCTGAACAATGATCTTATATAGTCAGTGTTGTCGGGGCGTGGCTGAGGGCGTTCCCCATCCCCCTGGACTGGGACAGGCCCTGGTGGGTTAGCAGAGCAGGCTGAACAATGATCTTATATAGCCAGTGTGGTGGGGGTGTGGCTGGGGGCGTTCCCCATCCCCCTGGACTGGGAGAGCAGGTGGGTATCCTAGATAAGCCATGATAATGATTCAGCATCATCTTACCCAAGTTTGTTGGTCACAACAAAATGGTAATCATCTAGAACATTCATCAATATGGTCTTTCCTCCCACAATAGGTGGAAGGGCTGTTCAAAGCGACAGTAATGTCAACTCACCAGTACCTCAGATCTGGGTTAGAATAGGTCTTCAGCAACCAATGCTTGCTGTTAACGGAGACTATGCTTGTCGTAAGAGGCGACTAACAGGGTCGGGTGGTCATACTCGCTGACTTGGTTGATGCATGTCATCGTTTCCCATGTGAGTAGCTTGATGCTCATGATGTCAATCACTGGATTGTCTGGTCCATACCCGAATATTTACAGACCACCATTATATAGCTGGATTATTGGGTGCGGCGTTAAACAACAAAAAAAACCCCCCAAAAACAAACAAAAGTACCTCATGTCGGTTGAAAGAGTTCTTGGGTGGTTGCAGTATGTGATCTGTCACCATGATGGTGTGGCAGTTAATCTCCTCACCTCTGTCACTAGTCCTCCCAGCCAATGATAATGCTCGATGTTCATGCATGTGTTTCAGGTGTGGCCCATCAGCTGTGTGTTGGGGACTCTGATTGGCTACTGCACCGGTCTGATTGTGTCAGCTGGTCATCTATACTACAAGTACACAGTTCTCAACAAGTACAAGCTCACATAGCCAGTATAGCAGGAGCATGTGTGTGGGTATATGCTGGCGTCCCACAGCCCAGGGCAGCATCAGGCCCCAATCGGAACCTCAGAGGCACAAGGTGTTTGTAACACCAGGAACATGACTCTCATATTGTCCATGGATCTCATAACGCGTCTCCAGGAATGGACTAGTTAAATTTTACTTTTGGGGTCGATTGGGGGCGGCGTATATCATATGAATTCGGAGTACACTAGGGAAGAGGAAATATACATATCTGGGGGACTGGTCATTTACTTGGGGAAGGGGATTGGTCTTGGAACTGTTTCATATTTTGCTGATGCCCCCATTTTATGTAACATTCTTCATTCCCCTTCCTCCATATAATAAATGAGCAGAGTTGCGTCCCTTTGGCACGCCAGAAACCTATGATTGTGGGTTCGAATCCCGGTTCACCCTGATTATGTTTCTAGGTTTGTCAGCACCATACCCGTGCTTGTGGGTTTCACCGAAGTGGTAAACTTCTGCGACCTGCATCACTTCGGGCTTTCCTCCCACATTAAGCTGACACGCCGTGATATAACTGAAAAACTATTAAAAGCGGTGTTAAACCCAACTCACTCACTCACTCACTATAATAAATGACACACACTCCTTAAATCCCACCGACCAACCACCAATAATGAATGACCAATCCCTAGGATTTTGTATATTATTTGTCAATTTATATTGGAACAGGGACTGCTTCCAGTCTAGGTTGGGAAGCTGTAGTGACTTCAGGGAGGAGTGATGAAGATAATGAGAGACTCAGGGTCATTAAAATAATGATACCATTCAAGGGAGAGTGGCGGAAAGATAAGTTAATGCTAATTTGATTATCATCATGATAAACTGTTTTAGCAATTTACATCCAAGGGATTGTCATGTGATACATTTGGGAGGATTTGTACTCATGTAGTAATGACTGTGTATTGGTTAGCCCAGTGATTAATGTGCTGCTACACACGACAAAGATCTGGTTTCCATTTCCCACATGGGTACAACGTGTTACCCTTTCATGGTGTCCCGACAGTGGATATTGTTGGAATATTGTTACAGTGGACATATCCTCCAACTTGTTGACAATTGTTTGAATCTCATAAAATGATTTGCAGCCATCCCAAAGACAGACCTATTAACATATTATTATTTGGAATAAAGGTACTTTTAATGGGTTGTATTTTGAACACTTGGTGAATATATGTGTAGATGCTAATGATGTGAATATTTGGAAGAATAACTTGTGTTTATTTTGTAATAAAAATCATTTCAAAACAGGAATATATATTGAATGGTTTTCTTTTACAAAACAATCTATCAGTGGACTTTGTTCTGGTAAACATCTATGACCGGCATCACTTCAGACTCTCCTCCCACATCAAGCTGAATGTAACTGAAATACCATTCCAAGCAGGCGGTGCCCCAACTCACTCACCGTTTGATCTCATATCCACCTACAAAAACCTATCAGTGTCACAACCCTAGATTCAGGTGAGGTGAAATACCCCACTCAGACACTGTATACTGACTCCGAGCCGACCAGTCCTTGTTTTAGCCCCTTAATGCCGAGCGCCAGACAGGGTAACAAGAAGTACCATCTTTTAACGTCTTTTGGTATGACGCGGCTGGGGATCGAACCGGCGGTCCCCTAGATTCAGTGTTTGGTCATTAGGAACAATGCTACTCTGAGTGACTCATGTGACTCTGTGGTATTCAGCTTCTACAACTTGATTATCATCTCCGGGTTTGTTTGTTTCTAAAAATGATCCCCCAAAACAGCCTGTGGGTGTGTCCAACTTTATAAGTATACCAGAACAAAGATGTTGATGTTGGCATTATTTCCAATACATTCTTTATTTGTTTGTTTGTTGACTGCCTCCGTGGTCTAGTGGTAGAGCGTCCACCCGGAGAGCGGAAGGTCCAGGGTTCGATCCCCGGCCGCATCATACCAAAAGACGTTTAAAGTGGTACTTGTTGTTACCCTGTCTGGCGCTCGGCATAGGACTTGCACATTCCCATATAGTCATTAAAACCTTGAGTCATCTGCATGACAATCTATCTTCGTAGAAACTAGGGCTGGCTATCATAGAAATCGATAATCATTAGGTAAGTATTGATCAATCATTGATAAATATGGGAAAGTAATTTGAGCAAATATGGAAAAAAGAGTCTGAAAGAAATCAACATATCTCACCCCACTGGTCTCGGTAAATCTAAACTTGTTTTCTTTAAAACAGTTTATGTAAGATATTATCAAAGACACAATTTTCATATCGATAATTGTTAATATTTCTTCCCATCGATGATAATTCCAGATTATCGATCTTTTTTTGCCAGCCCTAGTAGTAACCCTTGGTATATCCAGAGCTCCATGTTAGAGAGGACATCATTGTTCAATAATGCTTTTTTACTTTCATTTGCTGAAAAAATAGCTAAAATATCCAAATTGCTTATCATTTTATTTTCATAAAACAATATTGACAAAATAATTTAAAAATATAAAGTTAAAAACAGTTGGAAGTGTATTAAAAGCAAACAGTTGAACTCTGTGGAGTTGGCCCTTTATATCACACAGCACACTCTCCTCACACAAGTTGGCCAATCCATGTTGTATGTCCCTGGCAGTAGACCACATCACCTCCTATTGCAGGACTACTCCCAGCAAGCAGCACAGCACAGCACAGCACAGCACAGCATAGCACAGCACAGCACAGCACTGCCACCACAGAAGCAGTTGGAAGTAGGCTCAATATTCACGATTTCATGCAGCTAGATATTATTGTGAAAATATACTCTATCAAACTTCCTAATGCAGCTAAAGCTAGCTGTCATCTAAGCTAGCATGCAGAATTAACCCTATCACCAGACTCGGCCATCACAGAAATATGTTGCTATGTCCATACCCTACCTTTCATTATGCTGACGTTCAACTATTGCTGTTGCATTTGATTCTGAGCCAGGAATTCACAGGGTATTAAGAACGTGCATTTTATCACGTAAATCTGACGCAACTATAGTTCATTATGCAAAATCAGAGACCATATTGGTATATGGTCTCTGGCAAAATTATAGATAAATTCCGTATCAACCATAATATGGTTTAAGTTGGAATCACTGGAATCTGTTGATTCCGTAAGTAGAATCCACAGATTCTCATGGTGTCTCTGATACAGAACTGATTGGTCAATTATTTTTCCGGCATATATATTTCCACTGAACTTTATAGACAAGCGAATAGCAACCCATTCATTGTACAATGTTTCCTATCAAGTTGCCATTTCAAAACAATGTAGCTCCATTCTTGAAGACAATCAAAGCCTGAAACTTTTGATGATTATTTTCATTTTCTTACTTGGCGAATACGCCAATCTTGTCAGCTGATTGAATTTCGGTATGGGGTAACAACCATTTTAAATAATTTGTCCAACTATCACTACTACAATTATAATTAGTTTAAACTAATCATGGCTGATCTGCAGAATAATACTATAACTCAACACTCTTCATTGTGGCAAGAGAAATATACTGGCAACACTTTGAATGCAAATGCATAAATATTGTACCAACTAATGTGTGCAAATTACTAATCTAGATATTAGTGTATACAATCTAACCATTCCACTCTTCAGCACCCAAGACAAACTTTTCCAAAAACTACAAGTGGTTCCTCTTTCTAACAATGGATATAAACAGTATCTCTTTGGTTATATTATAAAATATACACAATTGTCAAAAGAAAACTTCACACTGACAACCATATCACAGTCATAACATTCTATAACAAAGTCAAGTCAAATCGTACACACACTTCATATCATACTATAACAAAGTTAAGTCAAACCATACACACACTTCATATCATACTGTAACAAATCATACAAAACATATACATTGCACACACGAGCAAATAGGGGAAACTATCATTCAAACGGAAGAAATTGTATGTTGATTAATATTTATATTCATATTTTACAAAATTGAATAAATTGAATAAATTTACATAAAATTTGCAAGACCTGTGTTTGAGGTCACATGGGGCTTCTACCCTTCGATGAAGCAGAATATGTATCAGGTCATAGCTTATTGTTGATACCAGTGTTGGCAATCATACATACGTTGTCAACGTTACGCATTGTTCCCAGCAGTTCTGAGCTTCAAGGCTAAAATTATGGTCATAATCTCATAAGGTTCAGACCTGTTATTATGCCAGCCCTGATATATGCACAAGCAGATTCATGAAATGAGACTTAACTTGATAAATACTCTTCAATTTTCTAAGAGTAAATCACTTCCCAAGACAAAGCAGCATGTCTTTTGGAATGAGTATGATGACGACATAACTGTTTCACTTGGCTCAAATATTCAAGAAGGAATGAGATGCGGATCTATATTAAGATGAGGACCCTGTCAGTCCCAGTTGTCCGTATGTACATGCATTGCTGTATGTATGTATTACCCTATTCGACGTAATAAGCGCCCCGCTCTAATAAGCACCCACGGCGATATTTGCTAATAAATTGGCAAGTGAACTATCCTAATTAGCACCCCTTCCAATCGATCAATGTACCAAGACTTACTTATTCGCGTATAATACGCACTTGTGTGTTACATGCAACCTTAATTATGGGTAATTAAATTCAGGAAAAATATATCTGTCGTATATAAACAGTTCAGGCCGTCAGCATAAACCACAAAATTTATCTTTTAACAGTAGTTAGTACACACCACAAAATAATAATTATCAGCAGAAGAAATACGTTTCTTCTGCTGACGTCACTTCCTGTTGGTGCATTTTCTTCTATTTCCTTTGATTATATAAAGTATGGTTTATAGACTTTCTGGTGACGTTGTATTACGGGAATAAAGGCTATAACTATTATTTTAGTTTTGTGGTGTGTTGATAACGTAGGTTTCAGTAAACTCTGTTTTTTCCACCAAAATAATATTCTAATAAGAGCCCCCTATTTCTAATTTTGAGAGCGCCCTGGGCGCTTATTATGTCGAGTACGGTACATGCACACACACCACTGCTAGCAGGAGAGGTAGATTGGTATTTCTGCTCATGTGCATGAATACTGACCTTCATTGAAACTATACTCTGTCACTAAACCCTGAAACTCTATTATGAGGAGTAATGGCTGATTTCAAATACTGTTGTTGTTCTGCATATATGCTCCACCACCACCCCCCTCAAAGAGTAGCATGGATGTTGCTTGGATGTCGTAACCTGAGTGTGTCGTCATCACTACCTGGCAGCAGTGTCACGTCAGATGACATCAAAACTATATCATCATCTCCTGCGGCAGCCATTTCTCCCAGACTCTCATCCTGTATGTCATGTGACCCTTGATAGTCATATGACCCCATAAATGACTTGGCTGATGTTTCGTCCTCGTCTTCTGGGGAGGAGCTGTCTGCTGCTGCTGCAGGAATGAAAACCAGCAATAGAGAGTGAGTGAGTGAGTTGGGTGTAACACCGCTGTTAACAGTATTACAGTTATATCGCAGCATGTCAGCTTAATGTGGGAGGAAAGCCTGAAGTGATGCAGGTCTCAGACGTTTACCACTTCGGTGAAACCCACAAGCACGGGTATGGTGCTGACAAACCTAGGAACATAATTGGGGTGAACCAGGATTCAAACCCACAATCAAAGGTTTCTGGCGTGCCCAAGGGATGCAATTCTGCACAGCGAATCGTGGCGCCTTAGTCGACTGGGCCACCCGAAAACCAGCAATAAATCAGAAACAGGAAAGTCAGTGCTAGGGAGTGATGTTACACCCCCCACTCAGCAACAATTGTGCTATAGGATGGGCCTGTAAAAATTTGAGAATGGACCAGACAGTCCAGTCATTGGTATTACCCATTATGAGAGGATCATTCACTTGAATATGTCCGATAATTTTAAAAATAACATTTCAAACTTTTAAATTTTGACATTACCAACCCCTAAATGAGGGACCTTATCTTAAAGCCTACCTCTAAGACATCACATACTAACCAAACAGCACACAAAAATCACCATTCTCTGTGAGTTGTATCTGACATACAAACTGAAGTATTGAAAGAAATAACAGACATTTATAAACGGAGTAATCTCACCTCTCTCCCGCTCCAACTGCTCTCGTATTCTCTGTCGCCTCACATCGAGCGACATCCTCCTCATCATCGGCACAAACTCCTCCTCCTCCACAGTGTCTTTCTGTGAGTACTGATACCATGACAACAACACCATGAACGACAGGAACATAAAGTTTCCCCCGATGCCACTCACAGCGCTCAGCTTGGGCCAGTAGAACATGTAATACCTGGGAAAAACACATCAAAGCTTGGATCACAACACACCCAGGAAGGATTTCTGTTGTCAATGGAAACTTGAATGATTCTAGTTCTGGCATACATGCTTTAGTAGGTGTTGCACTGCAGAAATTGCTTTGGTACTACGGTTTACCGAAAGAAAAATAAATTGACTATCATATTGAGATGCCAAGAGATAGGTAATATATAGTACTCCAAAGAAGTTAAGGACCACTCAAATCTTAACATATCAACACTGAGTGAGTTAGTATGGTTTTAGGCTGCTTTTAGCAATATTCCAGCAATATCACGGCAGGGACACCAGAAATGGGCTTCACACATTGTACCCATGTCAGGAATCGAACCCGGGTCTTCGGCGTGACGAGCAAACGCTTTAACCACTAGGCTACCCGACCGCCCCTAACATATGAATAATAGTAATATGAAAGAAGTGGATTGTCCTTAACTTCTTTTGAGTAGTATACATCACCTTACTTCATGTATAGATATTTGCTTTTGTAATGAATGGATTTGTTATCAGACTTGATCACTTAATGATACATGTATGCGTAAATGCTTAAACGAAAGAAGTCAAAATGGTGTTTCTCAGTAAAGCTTATTGATAATAAACAGTGAAGTATTTGCCTTGTAGTCGAAGGAATCAATTTCAAAGTATATGCTGAGCCTTCAACCCTTGTTTGACTATCACATACAAATATATTTTTCAAGAAAAGTTTACCTTAAACCAGTAAAATCTGCAAAGATCTTGATTTTGGAGGAGTATATATCTATCTTCTTGGTCTGTATCTGAATGACAGCTCCAACAGCGGAGTCAACCAGATCATCCACATAGTGGTTGAACAATTCAATGTCAACCACCTGCTTCTGTTCATCAAGTCCGGCCAGGAAGAAGGGGGCGAAAATGACTGTGTACATCGTCCTCAGCAGCACTGACCGGTAGTGCAGGATAGCCTGGATAGAATGAAGCATAAACAGGTGAGGTGAGGTGAGGTGAGGTGAGGTGAGGTGAGGTGAGGTGAGGTGAGGTGAGGTGAGGTGAGGTGAGGTGAGGTGAGGTGAGGTGAGGTGAGGTGAGGTGAAATTGGGTTTAACGTCTCGTCCAAGATTATTGCACTTATATAGCAACGTGCATGCACATGTGCGTGTGTGGCTGCTTGTACTTGTCCGGACTGATGCCGATTTATAGTGCTAGCACACTGAGATACCATGCCACAGTTTAACATGAATACCCCACTCAGACACAGTATACTGACTCCGAGCCGACCAGTCCTTGTTTTAGCCCATTAATCCCGAGCGCCAGACAGGGCAACAACAGGTATCATATTTTAACATCTTTTAGTATGAAGCGGATGGGGATCGAACCCCGGACCTTCCACTCTCTGGGCGGACGCTCTACCTCTAGACCACGGAGGCGGTCGAAGCCAAAACAGTGAATCTCGTTAGTCAACACCCTGGTAATCTGAAACCCCAGTCTTCCAGACAATTACTGGCAGGAACATCTATATATATATAGCTGAATGGACATAATAAGCCGTAATAAATTAATCATTAGATTTTCATCCCTGCCTGTCTCAATACTAAACACCCAGCAGGGATTTATCCAGGGTCTAAACTAAGTGCACCTGGCAAGTGAATTGGGAAAAAAATTGTTATTGTCTCTAAGTAAATATTTTAGATATTCAGAGGTATTTAAACATTGTATTTTGAGACATTGCTATTTGTTGGTCCTATCATCAGTGAATTACAGGTTATCTCTGCACTGCCATAAAATGTATTAGTTACATTCCATATATTTTAACTGAAATTTTTAATTCCAGTTTAGGAAGTTTTAATGACACCAGCTGCACACTTTGGGCAGGTCTAGATAAATCCCTGCCCTCACATCAATTTGTTGTCCCCAAGTTCCTACAGATGAAGAGAATCATTCTGTCTGTTCCCATCTCTCTTTACTTGATGAAGAATGCCATAGGCGTAGTCCTACGAAACATTTATGCATCCTACGAATCACATGTCAACAGTTAATGTACACAGATGCCTTGAACAGTTTGTTACAAAATCATAATGATAGTTTAAAAATACTATGCATGTAATAATTTGGATGAAAACCTAATAAATTTTTTTTTTGTGGCCTAAAGATGGTTTGATGAGTATCATGCACATCTACTCACAGATCTGTCCGACTGCTGGATCACTTTTCCGGTCTTGTCATACATCTGCAGCTGTACCATGAACATACCTGTGGACAGTGAGTTAACCAACAATGACATACCTGTGGACAGTGAGTTAACCAACAATGACATACCTGTGAACAGTGAGTTAACCAACAATGACATACCTGTGAACAATGAGTTAACTAACAATGACATGCCTGTGGACAGTGAGTTTAACTAACAAAGACATACCTGTGGACAGTCAGTTTAACTAACAATGACATGCCTGTGGACAGTGAGTTTAACCAACAATGACATACCTGTGGACAGTCAGTTTAACTAACAATGACATACCTGTGGACAGTCAGTTTAACCAACAATGACATACCTGTGGACAGTCAGTTTAACCAACAATGACATACTTGTGGACAGTGAGTTTAACCAACAATGACATACCTGTGGACAGTCAGTTTAACCAACAATGACATACTTGTGGACAGTGAGTTTAACTAACAATGACATACCTGTGGACAGTGAGTTTAACAAACAATGACATACCTGTGGACAGTCAGTTTAACCAACAATGACATACCTGTGGACAGTCAGTTTAACCAACAATGACATACTTGTGGACAGTGAGTTTAACTAACAATGACATCCCTGTGGACAGTGGGTTTACCCAACAATCACATACCTGTGGACAGTGAGTTTAACTCACAATGACATACTTGTGGACAGTGAGTTAACCAACAATGACAAACATAAGCATTTCATCCAATTCCTCTTTTCCATGCAAACTATTTAGATGCACAAAAACGGTCTACCATTGTAAACTGATTGAACCTCCATTATCGTGTGGTTCAATCAACCGAATCCCATATTTTAGTTTGAATGTAGAGATTCCACTTTTTCTCGCCGAGTCAGAGTTACATGTGCAGTAGAACTTCCATTATTGGCTGGGGAACTTGGTCATGGGATATTGGCTGCAGGATAATAGTTCTAATAGAGAACTACTGGATCCCTTGGCCCAGCTGCATACATGGTTGAACTCTGGTGCCATGCAGATAAGATGAGATGAGTTTTACCTGTACCTCGGTTGGTTGGGGATTCCGGCATCTCAAGCTCCAGGTATATCCTGTATGCCTGGCCCTTGTGGAGGATCTGGGAGAGAGCAATAGAACATCATTCTTATTATCAGCGTTCGAAATACCTGCCTGCCCGACCGTCCGAGATGGGTTGATTTCAACTCGGGCTGCCAGATTTTCAAATCCCCCTGCCCGACGGTCGGGTTATATTTCATATGTGAAAATATTCTAAATATTTCCCGATGATAAGCATTTATTCACATGTAAAGATGAATGATAAAATGTAACCAAAAAGAAACCCTGTTAGCTTTGAGACAACCTAAAATTTAGGCCATATTTAGGAATAAGGATATTTACATGATGTATTCTAGGATATTAAATACAAATCTGACCTAAAAAGTGTGTCTATTTCTTTTCTTGCATTACTTCATGTTCAATGAATTCGATTTCAAGTTTTAATTAAATTATCCTGAGAAACATTTGATTATAGTGGGCAGGCAGGTTTTGGTCAGGGCTGGCAAGTATTTCAGCTAGCCAGTCCTGTGGTCTGGCTGAAATCTTTGGGAGTTTCATACCCTGTTATTATCTGTTGTCTTGTTCTCGACACCCTGAAACCACTTGCACAATAAGACATTAGCACTACAGCTATTGTAAGTCTTTGTTAAAATATAGGTGTTACAATAGTCTTAAAGCATCTTTCTGTGTAATTGGTCCATTCGTTTCTACTACCCTTGACTCATTCGCTATCATCATGATCAAAGCGTTGTTTTCAGTGGTTTGAATGACACAATACTAAAACTAAACATCCAGTCCATCCTCTATACTCCAGGGCTCACATTTTGGTAATCCTACACTAACCCCTGCATCCAATCACATGTTTCTCCCAATCTCAAATTACCAACCCTTGATTTTCATTAACATTTTACCGACCAATCAAATTTCGAGACAAGGAAAAAGGAAAGGGAAGGACTTGCCACCACCTATTAATGGACAGGAAAATATCCTTTCTGTTAGAAATATTGTGAGGGCTTTCTTTTGCACGTCAGTCAGTTTTGAATTTTTCGCAAACTCTATCGTAATCAATGTGACTGGCCACCAAGTTGTTGCTATCGCCAACCCAACATTGAGGCTGGTTTGCACCTCGCATTCTGATTGGTCCAAATGGTTAGAATAAGTAGCAAATCAAATTGGCTAATTGAGGGGTAGGTCCAAGGGTTAGTGTAGGTTAACTGAAATGCGAGCCCTGGAGATACAGAGGATGCATCCAATCAAGTTATACTGTTGTTATGTGGATGAAACAAGCGTCAGTAGTCACCTTGTTACAACCCGTCTCAAAAACAACTGCGAATGTTTTGTCGCTAAGTACATCCCTCCCCTGTTTGATACACATTAAACCTTTGTTCCAGCTAAATGTTCATTAATAGCCTTCTGAGGGTAGACTTCTGAGGGCACTATTTTGGTCGCCAAACCGGAACAAATATTTTTACCTTCTTACGTAAGTTGTTGAATAAAAAATGGTCAACGAATGTGCAGTTTGTTATAAATGGTCGAAGCAAGAAGATTTGTAGGCCGGCATTTTCCTCCTGCATCCTGTCTGTAGATCAATATACTTTCTTACACAGACAACACAGGGGGTTTCCAGGGGGTGTAACCCCCCTTGTCGACATTTATAGTAGAAAACGGTGGATAAAGGGCGTGGAAGACAGTAGGGTATAGGATACTCCCCTTTACAAATGTCTTAAAGTTAAAAACGGGGCGAGGTTCAACTAAATCCCACTACAGTAAGTTCATTCAAGAGTGCAAATTCATAGAAAAATGATTATCGATACTTCCTCATTCAAACAAATCATTAGAGGAAACTGAATAAAACGATAAACTGAACATCTGAAATAGTTATTTCAAAATAACTGTCATACATTCCCTTATTCGTCCCACACCTAGGCAGAAATGCCTTTACTGCTTCTATATTATGTGTATAATCCCCATGCAGTTTCTGAATTTACAAATTCTACAACATGAACAATGTGGTGTTTTGTAGTTACAAGTCCATATGAGGAATGTCACATGATCAGGTATGTGATAGACGTGATCAGACGCATGATAGCGTGTGCACCTTTATATACAAGCAAAGCTGCCTTTGGCAGCTTCTGTACTGAAGATGTCGAAGGCAACGTTTCCCTTATTGAAACTGACAAAGTGGCGACCCAAATGCTGCAGTTGGGTACCCCCAGCTTCTGATTTGATTGGTAATATTGAGAGCTAGTTCATACGAGGCTGCATATTTTGAATGTAGATCTATAACTTGCATTCAGATAAGGTTGTTGAAGTGATGGGGAAAAAAAAAGAAGTAGCCAGCAGTCCTGAACTAAAACAGACTGATGTAACTTACTTCTTCTCGTCCATCTTTCCCAAATGTTAGGTTAGCTTGTGGGAATGTACACATCCCAACTCCCTCCGGACACACACTGAAGCACAAAATATACATCATACATGAAGAGTATCACTACAGTGTTTCACAACAAATGGGACATAGTTTTGTTTTCAAGCTGCTTTTGACATGACAGGTTATGTGTGTAAAATTAGTAATCATGGGGGGGGGACGGGTGGCCCAGTCATCTAAGGAGCCGTGATTTGCTGTGCAGAGTTGCGTCCCTTAGACACACCAGAAACCTATGCTTGTGGGTTCGAATCACGGTTCGCTCCTAGGTTTCTAGGTTTGTCAGCACCATACTCGTGCTTGTGGGTTTCACCGAAGTGGTAAACGTCTAAGACCTGCATTACTTCGGGTTTTCCTCCCACATTAAGCTGACACGCCGCGATATAACTGGGATACTGTTAAAAGCAGCATTAAACCCAAATCACTCACTCACTAGTAAGTCATGTGGTGTTTAATGTCATAGCAAGGAGGCTCACAGCTAACACAGATGTCCAACAAAGTGCAATCACACATGGAACACACAAACCTGTGGCTGAAATTGTGAGCATGGAGCCGCACTGACTGCAAACACACAGCCATCCAGATTACAGCTAGTTGTTGTGGCAATGTCATATTGGGTTGTTGTGGCCAAGTCAAACAAAATATGACCAACTGACAAAAAAATCAGACCAGACAATCCAGTGATTGAGATCATGAGCATTGATCCACACAACTGGGATATGATGACATGCATCAACCAAGGTTGCTGAAGACCAAGATCTTCATGGGTCCCGTATGCTGGTGTGTTTTTGGTTGTAATTGCTTATAACAAAAACAGATGACCAGTTTAATCAACTACACTGACAAATAAGAAAAGCTTTTTATCAATATTAATAACAACATATCAGCCCAAAGATCTAACAATTCAGAAGCTGCTTGGCTCCTCTAAAAAAGACACCTTTTCCAGTCTGAACCTTATGTCTATATTGTACTTTACAGTACAAAATAAAACTTGAGTGAGTGAGTGACTTTGGTTCAATGCCGATTTGAACAGTATCTCAGTTATATGACGACGGGTCAGCTTTATGTGGAAGGAAAGCCAGAAATAATGCAGATTTTACATATTATCCACTTTGGTGAAACTCACGAGCATGGGTATGCTGCTGAGAAACCTAGAAATATATTCGGGGAGGACCTGGATTCAAAACCATGATCGTACATGTCTTGCACCCATAAGGTACACAATTCTGCACAATTAATTGCATCGCCTTAGAAGACTGGGCCACCTGTACCCCAAATAAAAAATGAGTTGTTTGTTGTTTAACGCTGCACTCAGCAATATTCCAACTATATGCCAGCAGTCTATAAATAAGAGCCTGGACAAGACAATCAAGTGATTGACATCACAAGCATCGATCTACGTAATTGGGAAATGATGACATGCAACCAAGTCAACAAGCCTGACCACCTGAACCTGTAAGTAGGCTCTTACGACAAGCATTGTTGCCTCTTTCGGCAAGCATGGGTTGGTGAAGACCTATTCTTTACCCAGATCTTCATGGGTCTAAAAAATGAGTCGTCAAAACAAACAAGAAGTACTAGGAGTAAAGTGGTAAGAGTCAAATGACTGCTTCGCACTGCTTGACATTGCATGTAATATGGAAGTACGTTTCAGCCCATTTTACTTGATTGTTCACTGATCAAAATATCAAAGATTAGGAAAGCATTCCTGTTTTGTATCTTTAATTTGTCATTTCACTGTTCTGGCAGTTTTATTTGACCGATTCAGACTTCATAAGACATTTTGATATGATCCTAACTTTACAATTGACAGTGTCACATTTTCAATGTTAAAACTTATGAGAAAGCACAACTGATCCGCATCCTTTTTTCAGTCCCTGAAGCAGCTAACTCTACAAAATATTTTGGAAAACAGTACAGATGGCAAAAGATTAACATAAGAAATTTTGATAAGAAGACCTACACATCTTTGGCAAGGTCAAGAGTTTGTCTGTTGCTCAATGTCGCAGTCAGCAATATTCCAGCTATACAACAGCAAGCTGTAAATAATCAAGTCTGGACTTGACAATCCAGTGATTGACTTCAATCCACTCATTTGGAATCAATTTCCATCAATCAAGTCACCAAGCTCAGGCTCACCCGAGCCATTTAATCGCCTGTTACGACGAGAAGAGCAATGATTGATATTGGCCTCACTTGAGTCTGTCAAGTGTTTCCTCATCTAAATCATTGTTGTCTTCATCTAAACGTATGCAATGGACATCCTCGACCGGATTTGACCCATACATGAACAGTTGACTCATGAGGCACCTGCTCAATCACACGAGTTGACAGAGCCAAACCGAAACAGTCAGATGCCATATTTATTTATGTTATAGTATGCAAATTAACTATGACAACAATGGCAACATTGATAATGGCCTGTCGTTTTGCGTAAAAGCATAGCACTACATTTCTATGACTTAGCTACAGCTAAGGTTGCTGTGGACCTATATACTTACCTGGAATTGAATAGGAGTTCAATAAGTAAGAAATCATAACAATAAAAACTCACCTCAAACATGACAGCAAATAATGGCATAGGCTGTTGCATGACAAATATGAACATAAACTTTTAAGTATGAAATACTTACTCGAATTTGAAGTAAACAGGTCTGATGTGGGATGCACTTGGCATGTAGAGCCAGTAAAAACTGGCATAGAAGAATATTGACAACCATAGTATAGTTATTAAAATACCGATTAGAATAAACAAACGGATAGCAGTGGTCTTTAGTTTAGAGAAAGCAACTTGCAAAAAGATGCCTCCCCAGTCGATAATGTTTCCAAAGAGGTCGATAACCATTGTGGATCAGATGACTGAGCATTGTTGTGTGTACGAAATAAATATAACCTCGGCAACCTTTAACCTAGTCCCTTACACCATCAAACAAAATCCACGATGTGGCTTTTGAAATATTATGAAACATAATATTTGACTAATATTTATTGTAAACGTAATAAGTATACTTATGTAATACACTCAATCTATTACTAGCATTGTTTTAGCCCAGCGATCTTCTTGGAAATGGTGTAAGCGTTTTCAACTTGCGGAAACCGCGATGCAATATGGGAAACAAAGATACCGCCATATTTGTTAGTCACATTGCTAAATAGACATTTACCCTCAAAATCACTTTAACCAAGTGTTTACTCTACGAATGGGCAGTTGATACCTTGATAAAGGAGGGCTATCAGGTAAACAATATAACGAATAAAGTCATAGAACACACAACGCATTTGACTAACGCATCAGTTGTATTTCCTTGAAGTTCCTATTTTGATTCTTGGAAAATTTTGCTAAGTTTGATGTGAGCTATGAGACAGTAACTGTATTGTGGACTTGCACGTGACATAAGGAAAATTGCCCCGAGAAAACTAGTGCTCGCCCAAATTTCAGCACTATTTCATTATGCGCAATCCTTATCAGACAGTTTTACATAGCCCGTGTCCGTCGTCCAATCTGTCGCGTTACAGTTTACACATCCAAAGCGTCCCAAGTCGAACGCTTCCTAAACAGTCCGAACCATATGTTGAAATATGTACCGCTGACTTAAGCTGATTGTTTTTGGGAGTACCTTTTCGGATTCCAATTAACATTTCCATCTTAAATCTAGGCAAGGCTAATGACAACACTCACGTTATTATGGATGCTAGCACACACTTTATTTCCGGTTTTTAAGTGATTAGCATTAATAACTAGCGTTATGCACATGCAGACACATGTCATGTTTCACTGTTATGCTGTAGTTACACTCTATGCTTTTGCATATTATGAGTAATGTTGACAACTGATGTTTCAGCATGGCCCAGGGAAGCAGTGGGCAGAATCCCTACCCTGGGGTCACCTCCCCGATTAGCCTGGCTGAACCAAAAGCTTTTGACTTAGAGCTTTCTCTGAAGTTGGAGGAAACTCTTAGGCCTTTTGGGGTCTTCGAGAGCGAAGAGGAGCTGGCACATCGGTAGGAAAAACATCTTGTGACTTTTTGTTGTCTCATGTTAAGCTAATTTATTTTCACATTCAGGCCATTTTACCATTATGCTCTCCACTGCTTAAAGGGAAACAACCCTCCTACTTTCAATGTATTGAAATAAGGCTGGGATTTTCTTTGTGGATTCAAAAGTTGCTTATTATGGACTATAATTTTGACCGGTTTGACTTGTTCTGCGCTCTTCTCTCTGCACTGTGCAAAGCGACGGCTATTAGAGGATTGAAGAATGAGAAGCCCATACTATAACATAAGGATAAAAAATAAAGTGCTGCAGCCAAACTGACATATGTTTTTCTTGTTGATTAGTGTATAAATGACTTGAAAGGGTGACATTATTGGTCAACATTTATATATTTTGCACAGTAAAAAACTACATCATATCCCTTCCGCGAATTCAGGTTTTTTGGTAACGATGGGTGATAACAGATTTGGTCATTAAGTCTCTTGTCACGCTCAGTTGCGTTAGCCAGCCAATTGACTCACGACAGCTTATGAGTAAAAGACAGATGGGTAGAAGCCAGAGTTAGTCATTTAGTCAGTAATATCATTTTGACAACAGGAAATGTAACAATGTAATAAGATAACAGCTTTAGAAATTGGCACTAGTCCTTTAGCATGTTTAGCCCTCACTAAACTGCCCAGAAGTTAGGTATCATAAGGACTAGTCGAAATTTGACATATTTAAGGGTTTTGCTATTTGTTATCATTATAAGGACTAGTGGGCTAAAAATGTTAGTTTCTACCGCTGAGATAACACTTCCATTTTGTTCTTAATAATTGATTTGATTGAGCATAATGTTTTCACTCCCTGCTATTCTGCAAATCTCTTATTAATCATGTGTATTGAAATACAGTTCAGTGAGATTAATCAATTGTGTTGTATTGGAAAACATTATGATGGTTGCTTAACCTTCAAACTTGCTTTTTACAGCATGGAAGTTCTACTGAAAATCAATAACTTGGTTCGAGAATGGATCAAAGATGTTAGTAGGCAAAAGGTAAGATCCCTTATTTACCTGATCAATAAGGTTTTTGTTCAACAAGTTTCAGTCACCCAGTTATGTTTAATAGTTACATTAACATATAATTAAAAAATGTCAATTTGACAGTCTCATTTAAAATCAGATCTCTTACTCCAATATGACATCCCTCCACATGAAGATCTGAGGACACTGTCATAGGAAATGCTGTCGAGTCAATCCTTAATGAACTTTGACAACTGATCTCTTGAGCATGTTGAGCCAATCAAATGTCAGCTTTCTAAAATGATTCATCTTCATTTCTTTACCACCTCAATTCACAATACTCAAACTAATCCTTCGATGGTACACCCTTTTGGGTGTAGATGTCATGGTGATCCAAATGACAGGGGATAAAATAGGTCTTCAGCAACCCATACTTGCCGTAAAAGGCGACTATGCTTGTTGTAAAAGGTGACTAACGGGATCGGGTGGTCAGGCTCGCTGAATTGGTTGATTCATGTCATCGATCCCAATTGCGTGGATCGATGCTCATGCTGTCAATTACTGGATTGTCTGGTCCAGCCTCGATGTTTTACAGACCGCCGCCATATACCTGGAATATTGCTGAGTGCGGCGTTAAACAACAAACAAACAAACAAACAAACAAACAAATGACAGGATGTATTAAATATCCACATTATCATGGTGCAGCCTTGTTTATCTACATTCAAAACTTGTTCCTATTTGGGATACAGAAATCAGAATTGCAAGTCGCTCATACATCAATTTCAAAGCCTTGATGCTGATTAGCTTATTAGAAAGTTGACCCGACACACCCTTTTATGGAGTTGTCCTCAGATCTTCTTGTAAAGAGGTACTGTATTGGACTTAAAGATGTGATGGAATAAAATTAGCACACTTGTATCAGTTTATAAGGATTATTGTTAAAGAAAATTCATATAAACAGGATAAAACATATTATGCATAATAAATATCTATTGGATGTCTTAATGCATGATTTACATCTTTTAACATTAAGATTGTTATTATTTATGATAGTCATGACTCTGATATGAATCATGACAATGGCTTATTAGGATTGACCCAATGTTTCATTTCAGAATAATATTCCGGAAAACAAAATTGACACTTTTGGCGGAAAAGTGTTTACATTTGGATCTTACAGATTAGGGGTTCATACGAAAGGTAATCCTTTTAACAGGTTTAACAACAACTTGAATGCGTGTGTTCATTGACTTTTGTATAGAAAAAAACATAGGTATTGTATTGCTTTTAATGTAAATTTATATGTGTTATCTTGACAGACTATTTTGTAAAAAAAAATTGGGAATAAATGTTATCTTGTTTGAAATAAGCATTTTTTAGGAGCTATTATTTTCTTAATTGGGGAGGTATTCTGACATAGGATTGCATTCAGTGCAATAATGTGAAAATAAGAGTGCACTTGCATTATACCGGATACCTGTTGGACATATTTGTTTGATGCTTTAAATACAGGGGCATGCTGCAGCGAGTAAATTTGGAAAATAGGGGGATAAAGATGCAAGTAAGCAGAAAAATATGGCCCTGCATGCATTTGTATGGTTTAATATGATGAAAATACGAAATTGAGTATCAAAGCAATTAATAAACATTGACAATCAGACGTCACAATCGAAAAATTACTCAAAAATAGAAGTTCCGTAAATGGCGTACGGCAGCCTCATCAGTTGCATGCATCAGGACCATATTTCAACACACTTATGTTTTATTCATTTTAATGACATTTACTTACGAAAGCTTTTATTACAAAGATGTGTAGGGGGCAAGCCCCCAAAAGCCCCTTTTGATTAAGCGAGACAGCTAAAAATGGCAGATGAAATACTTAGAAACCGTTATATAGGAAGGAGCTTGGCCAAACCCCTTCCAAAATGGCACAAGGTATCAGATATACTGCAATCTATCCAAAATAAGCATTAAGCCAGCTTATTCTATTGATCATGTTTTCAGTGAAATACAAATCACCTCGTCCAAGCCATCACATTATTAGATGACACTGCCTAGTTATCCTGCCTGGTGATCGGCATAAAGGGCATAACACAAGGACTGGTTGGCTCGGTGTCTGTATGATGCGACAAATCAGTTGCAAGACAGCCTCCAAATGACAGGTTAAAACATATCTATTCAAACAAACCAATATAAGTAGTGATTCAGGAATATAATCTGTTGTCCTCGGGCCTGTTTGAAATGAGAGGTTTCAGCAGTCAGTCCTCAATCACGATACAGGTACGGGGCTCTGGCTGCTATTGCCTGTATGAACTAGTCCAAATCATTAAGGCATCAGTATATTCTATTCCCTTTCCCAAGAAACCCTATAAGCAATAACCTATGTTCAACCGCAAGCGAGCAATTAGCAGATGAATATTCGGCACTATACATTAAGCCCCATTTCACCTCACCACATTTCTATATATTATATTAACTATATTAATATGAATTTGGAAATGAAACTTTCCCATTCTACTGATTATGAGGCCAATGTCGGCCTTAGAGAGGCCTAGTTAAATCCCTGTTATCATTGGTCTTGCTAGAACACCACTTTCAAATTCTTAAGAACTTAAAAAGTAAAATACCATGTAATAATATTTGAAGCTATGATGATAGAAAAGATGAATGATCGATACATTCATATCATGCATATTGTGGTCGAGGTTACTTTCTTATTCCTCTCCAGTATGAACAAGACATTACATATTTAATTGCTACGGTTAAACAGTTAAATCGCAAACCATGTTTCTGTAAATGTTCATCTGAATGGCATTGATAAACAAAAGCATTGAAATGAGAAATTGGCTTTTCATTACCTTTAATGGACTACCAGGGTATAACACAAGGCAGAAATGTTCGTCCAGCACACACA